GTACGAGCATGTGGAGCAGATGCGCCTCGTCCGGAGGAGACGGGAGCAGCTGAAGCTTCTGGGGGATTACCTGGGCCTGTGCCGAAGTGGGGCCCTGAAGGAGCTGAGCAAGAGGTGAGCGTCCCGGACACACACACACACACACACACACACACACACACACGCATGCAGCTAGTGCCCGCCCAAGACGCCCCCTTAGGAAAAATGCCAGAGCCGAGCAGAAATCACCTTCCCACTAGGTTGGGGAAATTACCGCAAGCTTTGGGAGTGGTTTTTATTTGTTCATGTATTCATTCATTTACTCGTTCATCTAACAGTTATTTACTGAGAACATACCAAGTGCTCAGCACTGAGCCAGCTTTGTGAGCTCCACACTGAGCAAGGTAGACCCGGTCCTACCCTCTCACAGGGAAGGCAGATGAGTAAGCCTAGAGCTACAACAGCCTGTAGAGCTGCTACAACAGCCTAGAGGGAGCTAGAAGGGAGGCAGGATGCCTGGAAGTACAGAGGTGAGCCCTCTAATCCGGAGTGGAGGAGGGCAGAGCCCGGAAGACTTCCTGGAGGAATGTACATAGAAGATGAGCCTTGGAGAATGAGTCAGAGTTAGAAAGGGGAAGACTCAGGAAAGAGTGTTACAGATGGAAGGAACGGTGCGCTCAGGCCCTGAATGAAGGCCCCATACGAGGGAAGAACAGAGAGAGCTCCGGGGCGTGCAAGGACGGAAGGGGGGCATGTTGTGAGAAGGCTGGACATTGTTGTCCTGCCCCCCCCCCAGTCCCCCATTCGTGGCTGCTCTGCTGCCGTCTGGCATGGCATCCCTCCTAGAATCCTCAGAAGAGGGCAAGGTTAGGGTGGGACCCTCAGGATGCCTTTGAAGAAGCTTCTGGGCCCCCAGTGCTTGGGGGCCTGCTTAGGATTGAGAGGTGATGCTGTGCTTGAGTATGAGCTTAGGGCCTTCCTGTGCCCATCGTGAACGCCTCCTAGCCCAGGCTGCGGCCTTCTTGGGGCTGTGCTGGTGGGGGAGCTGGTGCCTACTGTCCAGTTGGGCTTTGTTGCTGGGTTTCTGGGGACTCGGAGCAGTTCACAGTCCCCCTCCTCCCCGCCCCCAACCACAGTTCCGCACTGGGCTGGCCCAGAGACCACCTCTCTGATAGGTTGCAGCTCCTTGGTCCTGGCTACTGATCTCCCAGAGCCAATTCTGCCTGGCTGCTTGGGGCCCGGGCAGTGCCAGTACAGACCTCTGGGGATCTCAAGGAGCGAGCTGCTGCCGGGGAGAGGCTGGCTCCTCATAGGCTCCCAGAGCAGCCAGCTGAGCCCTGGTCTCCACGGGACCAGAAAGCCCCCTGGGTGCCACCATGAGGGACCCTAGCAGGCTGCTTCCCGGGGAGGCCTTGCCTGTCTCAATCATCAGCTGGGTGCCTGGGTCTTCACTCACTGCCCTCCTTTCTGAGATTCTCGGCCTCAGGGCTCCAGAGAATCTGCCCTCCAGACCCCCTGACCAGGGTGGTGAAATCTCCCTGTCGTCACCCACCCCAGTCAAGGGGATCTTCCACAGACCTGAGCAGACCGGGTGCCTGCAGGGTGCGTCCCAGGCACTGGCCTTGCCTGTCCGCACCCTGCTCAGATTGTTTGGTCATCGGCCTTACTGACCTGTCTGGGCGGCCCTGCTGGGCGGCCCTGCCTCTTTCTCTCTTGCCTTGTTGTTCCCATCCTTGGGTAGCAGCACCGCATACCTACTGTGCAGCCTACCAGCCTTCAAGAGAACAAGGCCACGCCAATAGAAGCAACGTGGGGCAGGGGAAAGAGCTCAGGAGCAGACTCTGCCCGGCCTCAGACTTGCTGTATGACTCAGAGAGGTTGCTTCACTTCTCTGAGCCTCATCCTTCTTGTTTATAAAATGGGCCAGTAATCCCTGTGCTCATGCGACCTTCTGGAGTTGTGGTGAGGGCCCCATGAGGGGCTCAGAGTCTGGGGAAGGGCACAGGCAGACAGACGGCCCAGGGTCAGCATGGCTTGTGCTGTGAGGGAAAGCACCTAGACCCAGCTTTGTGACAGCCAAAGGCAAGAAAGTTCCCAGAGAGGGAATGGCATCTGAGCTGAGGATTTGTAGCGTTCTGCTCTTTTCAAAAAAAAAAAAATATATATATATACATATATATATATATATATTTTTTTTTTTTTCCTTTACAAAGTTGGTCAGTACTCAAACAGTATAAAAGAATTAAGCAGGAAGTTCGGATCACTCCTCCAATCCCACTGCAGTCAGTACCGTTAGGCTCTGCTTCCAGAGCTCTGTCCTTACACGCAGGAAAAGAGTTGCCTCAATGCAAACAGCATGTACATAGTGAACTGGGATTTTGCAAAAGAACCAAGGAGAAGAAAGAGGGAGGGATGGCCTAGGTTTCCTGGCTTAAGGGGGCCTGTGATGTGGAGAAGGGCGGGAGTGTGGCTCACTGGGACCTGTGAGGGGCTCCGTGCAGCTGGATTGCAGGTGCAGAGGCCAGACCTTGAAGGTCCTGGGCACCACACCAGATTTGGATTTATCTGCTCTCGGGTTTAGAAAAGGCCAGCTTGGCAGCAGTGGGGCGCAGGGGCTGGTGCAGTAATTAGCCCAGGGAGGTGTGGAGGCCTGGCCTGGGTCCCCCAGAGTGGAGGCTGAGGACCTGAATGGTTGAGAAGGAAGGGCAGGTCTTGAGTGTGAGTAAAGTCAGGGAAGAGTTCCCTTCGCTAGCGGCAGCCCTCCGGCTGGGCTGGGCGCTCTGAGAGAAAGGCATCCTCCGATGGGGGATGGGCCTGGATGCATCTTCAGGGGCCAGAGAAGCCCCAGGGCACCTTCCCTGCCCTTGGGAAGGAGCCATCACAGAAACGCCCTGGAGGGGTGGGGAGAGGAGGTTCCTGAGTTCAGAGGAGACCCCAGCCTGGGCCTGGAACCCAGCTGTGCCAGCCTTGCCCGTGCCCTTTCCTACCCCATCACTGCTTGCAGGAGTGAAGGGGCAACCTTGCCTCTGTCTTCCAGTGTCCTCCAGAGAGCCCTGTGGATCTCTCTGACCCCTTCCCAGGCAGTCCTCCTCACACTGGAAGAGGACAGAGAGGGGTCTCCTGATTGTGGCGTGGAGAACAGAGGCCCAGAATGGCCCTGGGGTGTGGATTTCTCTCCTGACGGCCAGGATGAGCAGTGGCGTCTCACCCCCAGGCCAGCGCTTTGTCCCCTCTGGCTCGGGACTGAGCATTGTGGAGAAATCACTTGCAAGCCTCACGGAGAGTGTGACGGGCCCAGGGCACAGTGGCTTGCAAGGAAGGCCTTGGGCCTGGCTGGTCCCTGGGGCTTCCATGATGGTGGACAGAGGGCAGATAACAGAGATGACTCTCCATCCAGATCAGCCCCACCCTTCCTGCCAGCTCAGGGACAGTCTGCACACCCCCCACCCCCGCCCCCTGCATTTTCCTGGTGATGAATGGCAGCTTGCTGTTCCCAGAAAACTGGAAGTTTACTGGAGAAACCAGCTTGGTGAACGGAGCAGGTGGCCGGCAGTGTCCCCACCCTTGTGGCACAGTATGGCCTGCCTGGCTGCTTGATGGGACTTGTCATCTCTGCCCCACATGGGGTTCCCCCAGACCACACCTGAGGCCATAGTGTGGAGCATGGCCAAGCCCCCACTCCAGATGCCCTGAGGCCTGGCACCCTTCCGCCCCCAGATGTCCTGGGCATCCTGGGGCAAGTTTGCAAGCTTTCCTTAGGCTTGGAGCATTTTCCCCAACCCCAGTTACCCACGCAGGCGCACACGGCAAAGCCAGGCGGGGGTTGTCCAGGGGGGTTTCTGCAGGTGTTTCCTATCCTTCCCTCAGGCTGTAACCCCTAGGATCTCTGCCATTGGTAGGTGGAAAGTAGAGCTGTCCTTGTCCTCTGTCTCCCCCGCACCCCACCCCACCGTGAAATGGGACCCTGCTGTACTTAGGCCACGTCTCAGTGCCTCTCACGTAGCACTGAAACCGGATGCTTGACTGTCTGTCCCTCAGCTAGACCAGGGGCCACAGGAGGGCACAGACCACGTCCTATGCATTTCTGTCCTCAGCACTGTCCCTGGTATGTAATGGTGGCAATCATGACCACAGCTGACACCCACAGGCCTTCGCCGGGTGGGTAAGGATGTGAGCTCGGGAGCCAGGCTGCTGCGTTCAAGCTCCAGCTTTGCCACACACAAGCTGCGTGACCACAGGCATGTTGTTTAACCTCTCTGTGCCTCCATTTCGTCGTCTTCTCAAAGTGGGGATTCGGGTAGTACCAACCTCAGGGGATTACTGTGAGGATAAAACAGGTTAATGGATATAAGATGTGGTAGCTTTCCTCCTCCTCCTCCTCCTCCTCCTCCTCCTCCTCCTCCTCCTCCTCTTCCTCATTAGTGTTGCTTATAGACATTTTTTAATCCCTTCAAATTGTTTTGAGAAACATTTCTGCTTTATTGAAGTGTAAGTGACAAAATTACACTTTTTTTTTTTAATTTTTTTTTTAACGTTTATTTATTTTTGAGACAGAGAGAGACAGAGCATGAACGGGGGAGGGTCAGAGAGAGGGAGACACAGAATCCGAAACAGGCTCCAGGCTCTGAGCTGTCAGCACAGAGCCCGATGCGGGGCTCGAACTCATGGACCTCGAGATCATGACCTGAGCCGAAGTCGGCCGCTTAACCGACTGAGCCACCCAGGTGCCCCTATAAGATGTTTAAAGCGTACGTCACCATGCTGTGATACATGTATACGTTGCGACAGGACTCCTCCCCTCCGGGGAGGGATCCATCAGCTCATCCATCAGCTCGCTACATGTATACATGTGTATGTTTGGCGAGAGCATTTAAGTTGTACCGTCTTCGCAAATTTCAGTTACACAACACAGTGTTATCAACTGTGGCTGAGAATTACTCAGCGTTCACTGTGCCAAATGCTTTACATAAAGGAATCCTCAGAACAGCTCCATTGCTCAGGTGAGGAAACTTGAGGCTCGGCGAGGTTAAGTGATCTGCCCAAGGCCACCTGGAAGACCAAGTCCCCAACCCAGGTGGCCGACTGTGCTCTTAGGCACCGCCCTGGCCAGGTGTTCACACCCGGTGAGCAGCTGAAGGAATGAAAACAAACACGGGTTGGCCCAGATCATGGAAACCCTTATAAGGAACCTCTTATGTTTTCTTTGAAGGCTCAACCACAGGAATTACCTCTTGGAGTCTCCCCACAAGTACAGTGTCGCTGACCTCCAGCAGGTGAGAACGCCCTTCCCGGCCCCCAGGCCCCTCTAGAGAGCCCTCATTCATGGGAAATCAGCAAGGAGGACCCGGGAGGGAGGCTGCAGCTTTTCGGTACCTCAGGCTCCGCGTCTTGCTTGTCCCACGCTCCCGGGGCGATGACTGAGCGCCAGCCTCCTGCTGTAAGCAGGCACTCCAGCAAAGCCCAGGTCACAGGGGTGACAGCTGGGGACATTCCTTTCCTCGAGGGAGGGTACTGCGGATTGGGGTCTCGTCTGTCAAGCCCGTTATCCCCAGCGACCTCTGCGTATGGGGCTGCTGGACACCTGCGTTGCTCGGCCTGATTCAGGGAGGCTCTTTGGCCCAAGTGCGAAGAAACCTCTCTTGGGGTCGGAAATCTTCAGGCAGGGGGCCAGGAGCAGCAGCGGGCCACCTTTTACAGATGGCCTCAGTCTCAGCACAGCTGCCCGAAAGGCCTGGCGGCCTGACCTTGCCCTCCACAGATCGCGGACGGGGCGTACGAAGGGTTCCTCGATGCCCTGATCGGATTCGCCTCCCAGCATGTCTACCACTGTGACCTGTGCACCCAGCGTGGCTTCATCTGCCAGATCTGCCACCACCATGACATCATCTTCCCCTTCGAGTTTGACACCACCGTCAGGTATGTGGGACACCCAACCCTCCCCCCCCCCCCCAGCGGGCCCCAGCGGGCCCCAGCGGGCCAGGGAGGCAGGCCCGGCACCGTTGTGCAGCAGCACATTGAACACCGCGGCTGTGCCAGTGCCACGGGGCGGTGAGGTTGTCTAGAACAGCCGACGCCCTGGGCAGTCACGGCCAGCCCCAGTCCAGCTCCGGGGACAAGAGAGCCCTCATGGGGCCCTACCCTAGACCAGGGAAGCTGTCTTCCTAGAGAAGAGGTGACTTGCTGCCTCTTTGAGTGAGGGTCTCGGTGTTGGCATCTACAGACGGACTGAGGGAGGGACTGAATGAGTTACTGCCCTGGAGTGGTGGCACAGGCCGGGCACAAAGTGGGCGCCTGGCGGCTGGTGCCTGCCTGGCTCTCTGCTGCGGTAATCATCGTTCCTATCCCGTTACTGCTCCTGATCAGAAGCCTCTGAGTGGAAAGAGTCACCCACCAAACCTCCATTCCGGCCCACACGGGAGTGGAAAACTGAACGGGTGGGAGCATCCATTTTCAGTAGGCGTCTCCTGGCCCAGATTCAACCCCTGGGCTCAGCTTTTTAAACCGCAGAGTGTTTTCGACGTGGGCAAGAAATCATCCCCTAAGTCTCTAGCGGCCTCTCTGGAACGTGAATTAGAATCGAGGGCGTCCGCACCTGTGGTGTGACGCGGGGGTGAGCATTGTCTCCAGGCAGCGATCTGGCCGGGGGGACGCAGCGCGGCGCGTCTTGGGGCCCCGAGCAGAACCGCACTCTGCCACAGGCGCTGGTCGGGATGCCGGCCGCCCCCGGCCCCCTGGCACCAGCGGCGCTCGCGGCTCTCCCCCAGGTGCGGCGAGTGCAAGACCGTTTTCCACCAGAGCTGCCAGGCCGTGGTGAAGGGGGGCTGTCCCCGCTGTGCCCGCCGGCGCAAGTACCAAGAAAGGAGCGCTCTCCTCTAAGCCGCTGCGCCATCCCCGGCCCGAGACTGTGGAGCAGCGGCTCGCTGGCAGCCCGGCCGCCTGTGGCATCAGCCTGCATACTCTCGAGGTGTCCCAGCCGTGTCCCCTGCCGGGAGGACACAGATGCGACCGGAGCACGAGCCTACCAGACGAAGCCCTCGAGGATGTCGCCCAGTCCCTCTACCACCCGTCTGCTCCACAAGGTGGGGATGCCATCAGATGCCCCCCCCCCCCCCCCCCGTCCCAGGGGAAGCGGGGAGGGGAGCTTTGCACTAACCAGGCCCCAGCTCACCTCACAGACACGGCACCTCCATCAGGGCTCTTCAAACACTGTGGAAACCACACTTGGGCACGTGCTCAGTTCCACATTCCGGATTCAAAAAAGGTCTAGTTTTTTAAGGTGGGTTTTTTCCCTTCATATTTCAATAGAAAATATTTTTTTATTCTTGACCCTACACAAGTCACCCGAGAAATCCAGACATTCTCATGCGGAGCAAACACGTGGGAACATTTGGCCTGCGGGCCAAAGGCGGGTGGCTGGGTAGGCAGGCCGCCGCTGGGCCAGAACTGTCAGCTCTACGGGTGCCTTTCCTTCACTCGCGCCTGACACTGCTGCCCACGGCTCAAATACGACATGCCAAACCGCCCAGGGGCTGTCGGGGTCGGTCCGATTACCACCCTCTTCCTCTCCCTCGCCTCTTTTCGCCCTACCCTGCCCTCCTCACCTGAAAAGCCCGTCACCTCTCTCCGCGTCAGAGCCCCCTGGCTCCGCCGTAGCCCGGGCTCTCGGTCCCTGCGGGAGAAGGGAGGGACTCGGAACCAGCACTGTGAGCACTTTGAGCCCTCGCTTGGTCCAGGGCCGGGTCATCATCTTGCCCACCCCTCAGCCCCGTGCCCTCCTCACCTACAGCAGACCCAAAGCCAGCCGGGCGGGGCTGCTGCAGACACACTCTCAGGGGGACACCCCCCACCCCCCACCGCCTGACTGACCCCTGCTGGGACAGAGGAAGGCGGGGGGGCCCACAGAGAGGGCAGTGAGCCCAGGCCAGCCTGGGCACCGTGGAGCGGTGACCCCCGTCCTCCCAGGAAGAGTGCCAGCCGTGCTGCGGCGATGTGTGGGGGCGGCCGCCTCGTGGGAGGGATGCCTAGCCTCAGTTTACAAAGCCATGAATTCACAAAGCTTTGCTGGACTGGCCCGGAGGGGGCGCCACCAGAGACTAGAGAATTTCCCTGGAGCACGATTGCCTTTTGAAGGGGTGTGGGGTAGAGTGCGAGCCTGGAATGGTTTGCAAAGTGATGTTTAGACCCTGTGGTTTGGGAGCGATTCCCCTGCTGCCTTCCCCCATCTCTCCTGGACCCATCACCCCCCTGACCCCCAGCCCTGGGCCCTCTGGCCATCCTGTCAGCTCTCAGCTTGGATTGGGGGCCTCAGGTGGAGACTGCCTTTCACTGTCAAGAGATGAATCTACTCCCACCTCTCCCCTGGGGTGATTCGGCTGCTGAGTCACCTGCCCAGCCCTGTGTAGCTGGATAAGTTGTGCAATAGAAGAGAGGAGGTGGTAGGCAGGTGGGGGAGGGGGCTGCCACACAGCCTGTCTGTCCCCTGTCACGGAAACAGTACGCACCTATGCCCGGCACACCAAAGCCTCCTAAACGGGGAAGCGGATCCCTATCCTCAGCCCGCACCCCCACAGCCAGCATTAATGCCCCACCGCAGACCCAGCGCGGCCGGCCAGAGCCACAGATGCCCCAGATCCCCCAGTGGCCCAGAGCCGGCCTGGGACAGCGGGTGGTGCCGCCCAGGCCGGGCCTCATCTCAGGCCCTTGAGAACAATGTGCGCACCAGAAGGTGCCCTAGGAGGCAACAGGAGTGAGGCCCCAGAGGAGCTCGCTTAGGCTGTGTGGGGCTTGCGCCCCCCCCCCCTCCTCCTCCCCCTCCACCCCCACCGGGGATTAGCAGCATTAACTACAACTCACCCTCTCCCCAGTACCAGAAAGCTGCTGATGCTTCCCGATGAGTTGACTCTTACCCTCTCACCTCCAATGGAAAGCTGATGTGAACCTCAGTGGTGCCCACACTATTTTTAAAACGCCATTTTATGCAATAAACTGTTTTCTAGTGAGGCGCATTGGCCCCGAACGGCGCTTTGCAATGTACTGAAGGAACTGCTGCTGTGTGATTTTTGAATGATTTTGCAGTAAAGACCTGATCTTTCTCACCTCTGGTCTCGCTTCTGAATCCCGACGCTGCCAGTGGTTGGGAGGAAACCACCAGCCATCCTGCCGTCTGATGCCCCTGCCCCCACCGACTCTCATTAGTCCCTGGGCACACAGGAGGCCTGGAGAGGGGTGGCCGGCGGTAAACATTGTGCACCAGAAGTGGGCATGCAGGGGAGGAGGGGTGACCGTGTTCAGTCTGTCCCCCTCCCACTAGGAGTCAGAGTCTGTGGCAGGGAGAGGGGGGTAGCATCTCTGGGCCTTTGGGTAGATTTACCCGCATACACTGATGCCTGAAATGCCACCACAATGGCTTCTTCCCTGTGCCTGTCCACCGATCCCCGACACTGGAACGTGAGAAATCTCAGGACCGTGTCCCACTGGGTTATCCAAAGCCAGAGAAGGGGCTCAGGGAGGGAAGGCTGAGGAGGGCCAGAATCAGGGCTCCTGGCTTTTAGGGCTCCAAGGGGACTTTACTTGGCTGCTTCCTTCCTCTGAAGTTCCAGGAGAAGCCCACCACTGCCCATCATAAGGACAGAAGAAGGAAACACGCGTTCCAGGGAAATCAGGTTGCAGGAAAGTGGGATTGAAACACATTTGGCCCTAAGGTTTCTGGTCCTTGAAGACACCTTTCAGCCCACGAGAGAGCGTCTTCTGTGTATCCTCTGAGCCCCAGCTTCCCTCCAGGGCCTCAAGTCCCTCCAGGGTTGTAGGGGGTGGGCTCTGAAAACACAAAAGGAACTGGGTTCGAGCGCTGGGGACCAAGGCCAGGGTCACGTGGCCTGGGTGCTACCCTGCCTTTGGTCTCAGTGCCTCCACCCTCAGCAAGGTGCCTCTGAGGACGTTTGTGTCTCTCTTCCCCCTCCTGCCTAGAGAAGAATGGGGGCTTTGGAGACCTCAATCACACCCAGAGGAGGAGGACAGCTCATCTGATAATAAAAATAATGTTAATAGCTCTGTGCATCCTTCCGATACTAATGTGATACTACTACTGAATTGTATGTACTTCGTACATCTCATTCAATCTTCCTAAAGATCCTGTGAAGTAGGTGGTGGTGTCCCAAGTTCACGGGAAAGAAAAGATGCTGAGGTGAGCGAGTCCACTTCCAGGACACCCTAATGGACAGCTTGGAGGGTGGCCCTCTTCCAGTGGAGGATCCAGGAGGCAGGGGGATGGAACCACGCAGCGGGAGGGAAATCTGGCCCCTCCAGAAGGAGTTGAGGAGGCTCCCTCCCTTCCCCCGTCATGCCACCCTCCTGGCCCTGCCGCTTCCACGTCGCTGGAGATAGCCAGGTGTGGCCCGGGATCCCAGGGGGTGCAGGGGGGAGGGTGGCGTCTGAGCTCCTAGGGCGCTGGCCCGGCCCAGAGGGGACAGGAAGCCGGGACACCGGGGATTGTCTCTAGCAGCCGCAGCCCAGCCTCAGCCCGGGAGGAAGTTCTGCCGGGCGCTCTCGGCTGGTGCCTCCCTCGCTGTATTGTTGAACAGGAAACCGGGCTGTGCGGGAGCTGGGCGGTGGAGGAGGGAGCGCCGGCCGCCGAAAGCACGCGTACCTGCCGGGACAAGTGGAGGCGAAGCCGGTGATCGGACGCCCCAAGGTGCCAGGGCCGGGCCGGGCCGGGCGGGGGTTGCTGAGCCGGGGTTGGGGGAGCGCGGTGCGGCAGGTGGCGGGTCCTCACCCGGGAGCGCCGCGCGCGCCTGCTCCCCTTCACCGGGCGCTGGGGAGGGAGCCGCGCGGGCCCGGGAGCAGGGCCGCGCGGGGCGGATGTCCCCCGCGCGGAGCGGAGATCCGAAGGGCTGCCCTCCGTCCGGGGACAGGCGGGGCCCGAGTCCAGGCCCCGGCGCCGCTGTGGCTCGCGTCGCCCGGGCAGTGCAGGAAAAGCACCTCCTGGCGACGGGTCAGTCCTGAAGTTCCAGGGATCCTACCGGCCCCTCTGGCTCCCCCAGAGTTGGGGAAGGAGACGAGACCCGGGTCCCCTCCCCACCCAGCCCGAGCCCCTGCGCTCCGGTGGGGATCTCTGCCGTGGGAACTCCAGGCCCGGCCGAGCTGCGCCCGGAAAGGGCCGGGGGAGGGCGGAGGTGGGTCCGAAGCGAGTGGTGCGAGCAGTCGGGCTGGAAAGGGCTTGTAGTGGTGATTCGGGGTGCATAGGGCTTCGGTTGTAACCCTGGGCGAGACAACGAACCGGGGTCGAGCTGTCCCAGAGCAGCGCGCCCGCGGGACGCAGAGGCTCGAGGACAACAAATCCCAGCGCGGGAGGCTCAGGGGTGGGACCCTACCCACCTTGGGCTCCGCTGACGACCCCGCAGGGCCCCTTCAGTCGCAGCCCCTACAGCGCCCTCCCTCCCTTCGCCTTCTCTTGCTGTGCGTCCCACTCCCGGTGTCCCCCACCCGCCCAGACACACTCATTCAGGCTCCTCCTGACCCCTCCGAGATACCGCTGCGTTGGGGATTCGGGGGCAGCCCTCCTGAGCATCCCTCTCCTTCTTTGCTCCCCTTGCCAGCTCCTGATCCCGGAGGTCTCTCCTGCTTAGCCCTTGGAAGCCCCGCCCTTGGAAAGAGATGGCAGGGGCCTGATCTGCATCCATCCGCGGACTCCGCCGGTCCTGCCCATGGGCCCGCAGAGACTTGCCCTGCCAACGTGAGTGAGAGGCGGGGGTCCAGGGGAAGGTGACGGGAAGGGGTGTCCTCCCTGGGGGTTGTTGGCTTAACTACAGGCAGTTCACTGTAACTTCAGGGCCCAAGAGTGCAACCCTTTCCCCAACAAGGGAAGCTGGAGAAAGTAGTGAAGAACGCTCTGTGCCCCTGGCCAGACCCTGCACCTCCACCCCACCCCCAGGTCAGACCCTGTTCTTTGGGTTCCTCAACCTCAGCAAGCCACCGAGCTCCCCAGCTGCTGGTCCCCGGACACCTCTATGGGGCAGGAGATGGGATCAGTGCAAAGGCTTGGAGGGACCAGCCACTTATGGAAGAGGGTACCGACTCATCTCTTTGATGGAGAGACAGGCGGATTTACAGTTAGGCTCGGACTCCCAACACCACATCAAGCGCCAAGCTAAGCTGGCGTGGAGGGCGGTGGGTTGTGGCGATCACTCCGGGAGAGCTTTGGGGAGGACGCCGCAGGGGCAGTCACTGTCACAAAGTGCATTCTCTAGGGGCCACTCTCCTGGGGCAATGTGGAGATCACAGGGCTGGTGGGTAAGCCGCGAGGGCCGAGCCTCACTCCGGAGGTGGAGGTGGGAGCTGGAGAACAGGCGGTGGTGCAGGACAGTCTGGGCGGGCCAGGCCTCGGGTTCACGTCCGCAGCCAAGCCGCTGGGGAAGGAAAGAGAAACCGAGAGAACCGGTTCTCCGGCCTTGGCAGTCAGGTCCCTCAGCCAAGGCCCTTGGACTACGCGAGGCAGGGGCATTCCCCGGGATAGAGCGGTGCCGGGGTGGTTCCCAGAGCCCTGCGCCTCAACCCTGATTCCGCGGGCCGGGGGCGCGGGAGCCTGGAGGGAAGAGGCTCCGGGCACGCGGATTTCCTGAAGGCTGGAGACGTCTGGGGCGGGACAGGCAGGGCAGGGGGCGGGGCGAGGGGAGTGGCGGCGGGGGTGGGTGGGTAGAGAATGGGCTGTTCTTCCCACTTCACAGACCTGTAAACCGAGGCCCAGTCAACTTTTAGGCAAATGTGGTGACTTTATCGCGGTCAATCATCCCAACTCTTTGGGTCAAGGCTTCCTTGGCTGTAAAGCTGGACCAATATTACACACAATTTCTCCACCAAGGGATCGAACCGGGACTCAAATCTCGTAATCAATGCCACGGGATGAAGGCATTGTCAGAATGAAGGTATTGTCATAATTCCATGAGTGAGTGTAAGAATGAGAACCTTGGAGATTATTTTATCCAAGCCCCCCATTTTTGAGCTAGGAAATTAACGCACATAAGGAATGCAGCACTGGGACTCGAACCCAGGTCTTCTGTCCCTCTGCGCTTCCCGGCTCGGTGGCCCTGACCTCCGCGCCCCTCCTCCTTGTCACTCACAGGGAAACGCCAGGGCCGCGATGGCGGCGGACGTCGAGGGGGACGTGTACGTGCTGGTGGAGCATCCCTTCGAGTACACGGGCAAGGACGGGCGCCGCGTGGCCATCCAGCCCAACGAGCGCTACAGGCTGCTGCGCCGAAGCACGGAGCACTGGTGGCACGTGCGGCGCGAGCCCGGCGGCCGCCCCTTCTACCTGCCCGCGCAGTACGTGCGCGAGCTGCCGGCGCTCGGGGACCCGGCCACCACCTCCACGCCACCCGCGCTCCGCCCGGGGCCCGTGGTCCCGGAACCGCTCGCCTACGACTACCGCTTCGTGAGCGCGCCGGTGTCCGCGGGCCCCGACGGCACGCCCGCCGAGCCCCGGGGCCGCGTGGGCTCCCTGTGCGGCCCCGCGCGGCGCGGCGCCGCCACCCAGCGCAGCAGCCTGGCGCCGGGCCTGCCCACCTGCTTGTACACGCGGCCCGCGGCGCCGGTGCGGCCCGCCCAGTCCCTGGACGACCTGGCGCGCGCCGCCGTCGCGCCCCCTGCCGGCCTCCTCGGGAGCGCGGGCAGCTTCAAGGCCTGCAGCGTGGCGGGCTCCTGGGTGTGCCCGCGACCCCTGGCGCGCAGCGACTCCGAGAACGTCTACGAGGTCGTCCAAGACGTGCGCGGCCCGCCACGGGAGGAGCGCCCGCAGCAGGTACGGGGAGCGGGGTGGCGGGCCGGGGTGCTGCGCCGCTCCGGGCCCGGACTCGAGGAGACCCCCCTCGGTTTAGCGTCCGGCTCGACGGGGCGGCAGTCACCGCCGAGCCTCACTTTTCAAAACCACGGAAAGAGAAGGGTGCAGGCTCCCGGTCACTTATGGGCAATTCCGAAATGCCAAAGCTCCCTGGAGTCCAAAGGTTTCCCGTAACTTAGTTGGTGGTAAAAATTTTGATTTGAACCGATGTCAAGCTGTGGGTGGTCTTTATTTATTACATTTAGTTTTACTACGCAAGTGCAGATGAACCGGATTACAGTGTACTGCTCCAAGCCTTGCTGGCAGGTGTGTGCTCCGTTATTACCTTTCTAAAATCCACAACATTCCGAAACGCGCCCGGATATGGAGTTGTGGACCTGCGGGCCACTCCACCTGCCTTTTCTTAGAGGAGCTTAGGGGTCAGATGAGATAGTGGATGTGGAAGTCAGGGATCTGCTTCCTTTTTTGGCTTCTTCCGATATTTCAGTTCCCCCTTTAAAAAAAAAAAAAAAAAGACAATTTTTGATTTGTTTGTTTCAGGAAGTGGTCCAGTGATAGTGTGTTTTTTTCGTTTCAGAACCCAGTTGTTAATTTAGGAAATCGAAAATAGAGCACGTTTTAAAAACACTTTTACATCCTCAGAATCCTTCGGATGACCCTGACATCTTCAACTTTAGGAACTTTTTGGGTCGGTGGTTGGGGAGATGTGGAGGGAGGATGCACAGACCTCCTTTTTGACATCTGCCTTTTGACAGCTGGGTAATTATGGGCAATTCATTTCCTCTCAGAGGGTCTCGATTTGTCCTTTGGCCCAAAGAGGGGTGGAAAGTGTGGATGGATGATCCCTAAACCTTGTAAGTCTCTGATTTCTTTCTTTGTACTTCATGTAATGTATTTGTTGTCAACATTGATGCCTGGCCCATGCCAGGACTGAGTGTGGGATGCCCAGAGGAAGGAAGCACCTTCCCGGGCTGGGAGCTCCTGGGTCTCCCCTCCGCCCATCTGGTTACAGTGCAAAGAGCTCAGGATTTGAAGCTTAGAGAGACTGGAATTTGACCCTGCTGGGTCACCTGCCAGCTGCAGAGGAGTCACTTAACTCCCCAGCCCCAGTGTCCTCGTGTGTAAGCGCAGGACAAAACCTAAGGATTAGTGTTGTGAGCCTTCAACGAGGTGAGGCATGGAAACGCTTGGCACGTAGTAGGCGCTCCACCGAGGCTGGCCAGGGTCGCATTCGGTATCCTGGTCTGCGCCAGCTTTGCTCCCGTTTCTGCAAGGAGCAGCCCGCCCCCTTGTGGTCATGACGGGGAATAGCAACCGGCGCGTGGGGACGAGGATGGGGACTCCGCCCAGAAGGAACCAGAGGGGTAGGGGGGTGGGAAATAATGTGCCCGGCCGTCTCTGCTGGCCAGTTGGCCCCCTTCTCTGGGACAGATGGCTGGATACCAGTGCTCTTTACCCCGGCGTCCCTCCGTTTCCCGGACAGGCTCTCGGAGGTGCATTCCAGGACCTTTCCACATCCCCTGTCCAGCTTGCCCCTCTTTCTTTCCGCACAGTATAGTGGTGTGTCCGAGGGGTGGTGCTCGCGCAGGGAAGAACTGGGGCGTCTGCCAGAGACCCGGGTATTGATGGAAATACTCTGCCCGGTCCCACTTCTGGCCCTAATGAATGCACTGTATGGCCTCAACAAGAGGCTTAGTACCTCTGGTCTGGTTTCCTCCCCGTGTAATGGGTATGATCTCACACTTCCTGTGACCCTGCTTTATTCCAGTGTCAGCTGTGGGCCTCCCTGACACCCCAGCCCCTACACACTCCTGGCGTGGGGAGTTGCCTGTCTCCTGGGAAGGAAACCCCATTCTCCTTTTAGTTACTCAAGGCAGCATTTAGAGGAAGAATTTCCTGAATGGTGAGCCTGCCTGTTTCTTCTTGGAGGAGGCAGGAGAGGCAGCTCCTACCTTTCCCCTTCATTCACTCATTAACTAAGCATGAGGTGACCTTGCACTTGCCGAGCATCTGGTGAGGCAGAGTCCCAGGCCTGGAGGGCCACCATCTGGGTCAGGAGCCTGGCAAGAGGGGACAGATGCCTCAGGCCGGCATGGCCCAGGCCATCTGAGATAAAAAGGACACCCAGTGTACTGCGGTGCCCAGGCATGGGTGCAGGTGTGAGATGGGGCACCCCTGGGGCCTTTCAGCCCCGCCCCCACCCTGCGCTGCTGGGGCTCTGGTGGGGAGTGTGTGGCGCCTGGGGGGCGGGGCCTCATGGCCCTCGCCAGGAATTCGGACGTCACCGTGCAGCTACCGGGAGACTCTCAGAAGAGAAGGGAGTGGGGTTCAGAAAGGACCCCCTTGGCTGGAACTTTAAGAGTGGCAGAGGACTTTCATGGTCTCCCAGGCATGCGGTGATGACAGGAGAGGTTCGGGAAGTGGATTTCGAGGGAGCTGGTGGCTGATGGGCTGAGGAGGGCGGGAGAGAAGTCAGGATGAGTCCCAGCCTCCCAGTGTGCGCAGACAGTGGTCTGTTTATGGCGGGGACACTGGGAAGGCGTGGGAGGAGTCCTGGAGCTGCCCAGCATGTGGTGTGGAGATGTGGGGGGCGAGGGAGCATGTGGACCGGGGGACCACAGCCCTGGGCCCAACACATTTGGGTGACCAGGGGAGGGAAGAGAAGGAAGTGTAAAACACAGTCAGGGAACAAGGAGGAGAAGCAGGAGAGTGCTGGTCCAGACACCGAGAGGTGTCCAGAAGGAAGGGGAAGTTAGACAAAGGCCATCGAACATTTATCGGAAGTGGTGATCGCAAGGTCAGCAGCCACTTTATCAGTAGGGGGTTACCAAAAGCAGAAGGCAGAGGTCAGAGGGTGAAGATGAGGGTGCAGGGCCGAGTGGAGACCGCTCAGAAGCATGGCAGGGAAGGGAGAAGTGCCGTGTGGCCAGAGGCATGTGGAGGTCGAGAGGGGGGCTCCCCAAATCTGAGTGAGTGGGCAGCAGCCAGAGGAGCTGGTTGACGAGACGGGATCCCAGGACACAGGTGTGAGGGTGATGCGCAGGGCAGACGGGGAGGGACCCACTCCCTCTGAGGCAAGGGCCAAGGATGTGAGGATGGAGGGGACACAGGGTCAGGCTCATCGGGGACTGGGAAGCCTTGGACAAGGGGAGAGGGTGGCATGGGTGTAGGACAATTGGCAGAGGCGGGGACCCTCAGAAGAGAGAAGCCTCCTCGCCCACCGTGTGGCGTTTCACGGCCTTGTCATCTACCACGCGCCAGTGGATGGTCAAAGTGCGCTGGTCAAAGCGCTGGACACTGGGGACACAAAGCATGGTGGCGCATGACGTGATCCTGCGCCACAGGGGCTAGTGATCCCGTGGGCTCTCACTCAAAGGCTCCCACTCCCAGCAGCTCTGAAGGCAGGCCTGCATGGAAGGGCGCCCCCCTGTGCCAGAGTGCAGAGGTTCAGAGAAGTTGAGTGGCTGGCTGAAAGTCACCCAGGCAGGAGTTGGCTGAGCGGGAGTCAGTTCCCGTACCTCCTGACCCTGAACCCCACCCTAGTTACCAGGCTCAGTCTCAGGCAGGTGGCCTGCAGGCCATAGCCAGCCTGTTCCCCTCTACTCTACTCCCTCCCTCGCTGAGGAGGGGCTTTCGAGCCTGGGGAAGCCAGGTGAGGAGGGGCCTCTGAGACTCCTCCCCTGCTGAGTCCATTTCTGGGTGCAGTCACCATCCCCGGTCACCATCCCCGCCCCGGGGCCTCAGGCCAGCCCTCTGGACTGGAGCCCGCCCCTGCTGCCCAGGCATTGGCCACTGGGAGGAAAGAGTTACAGCCGGGGCCTCTGCAAACGGCCTGGCCGGTGCCCCACCTGAGCAGGCGGCCTGGACTGGAAGGAGCCCCGGGGCCCTGGCTCCCTGTCCTCTTCAGAGAACTGTGAGTGACCATTCATATGGTTGCACAGGGGGCGGGGGCGGGCCGTGGCAGTTGCCCACTCTCTCCCCTTCTTCCCTGACCTCCCCCCTCCTTGGTCTTCTCCTGTACCCCTGCTGAAACTCACCTGCCCGGTGACTTGCCCGGAGGCGCCCCTGCCTCCTCTCCGGATCCCAGGCCTGGCACCCACTCCGTGGGACAGACTCTGAGGGCAGCCCAGGGCAGCTGTGATTGAGGCCTCGGACAAACCCACCTGGGTCCCCTTTGGGTGGGGACCAGCCATGGGCCCTCTGGAAAGGGGGGTGCTGGTAAGAGCAGGGGAGCTGAGGCCAAGGGGAGGGTCTCCGGAGTCCTTCCTCCTCCCAGCCACTGTCTTTCTCACCTCCCCAGGCGGCCCAGCTGGTTTGTTCATCCCTGGGCTGACCTTTCCTCCCCATGACTCACCTTCAGCCCCAGGCGGACCCTGGAACCCCACTGCCCAGCTTCTGACCTGACCCATGAAAGAGCAGCTCCGTGGGTAGCCCCCCTCCCATCCTCACCCCACATTCCTGGCCAGTACTCCTCCCCAGCCACCCACCACTCCCAAGGCAACCTCCCACCCTGCAGGCCCCGTGTCAGCCCCTGGGGCCCCGTGGGGGGCCCCTGGGTGATCTCCCCTGAGCCTGGGCCCCATTCCTCACCTCTCAGTCTCTGGTTCCCCTCAGCACCCCAGGTCTCCTGAGACAGGCCCACCTGCCTCCCCACTTCCTTCCTGAGCCCCAGCAGCCGGCCTCTTTCTCCGTCTATTTTCTCCACCCTTCCTGGAGCTGTGTTCAGTAGTGGGAAGGACCAGGTGGTTGGTTATGAATGCCAACCCCGATGGCTGCTCAGTGCCCCGTTCCCGGCATGGGAGAGCCCATCAGGCCCGGGCTCAGCTGATCAGAACGTGGTCGGGGTTCCAGACTGGAGTGTCAGAGGACAGTTGATGTTGGTTGGCGTTGAGGGAATTAGGGCTGCCAGGACGGGGTCCGAGGGACATAGGGGTTCTTGCAAGGATTGTCCCTCGCTCTTG